ATCATAGGGAAGAAATGTAATATATATATATATATTGTGGGAACTCGCTTCAAGTGGTAGAGCTTTTCTTGTTTAAGCACACAGCAACTCGCTTCTTTAGGGGTTTTTTTGCCCACTTTTATTTAAAGAAAGTTCAAATAACACAAATGCTTCCCACGCAGGGGTATCCGCCATCCAGAAATACCAACAAAGGTTCAGCCTCCTGGCTTGTACACAGTTCATTGTCTGTCTCCTGCAGACTCTTCCCAAATTATGGCCACTAGCACACAGCTAGTCTAGCTTTCACCTGACTCCAAGGCAGAGACCTCCTGTCTGCCGGGGTGGAGCCCTCCTGACTCCGTTTGCTGGGGTGGAGCCCAGAACCATGGTTAGGCCTCTACAAAAAGGCCTGCACACACCTGTGCACTCAGTGTGCTGGGGGTTCTCAAAACACGGACCCCGGATTGGAGATTTCATCCCTCCCAGATCTTTTTGAAATCTCCAGGCTCCAGATCCCAAAACAGACTTAATGAGTAAATGAGGAAACTGAAAAGCCAGTTTCCTCTGCAATCCATCAACTCTCTGGAGCCCCTCAACCTGCCTGGTTGAGAATCCAGGTTTTCAGCTTTATTTTGACTGTGGCAGGACACCGCACTGCCAATATATATATATATATATATATATATATATATATATATATATATGACCTTCATACAGTCCTGTTCTATTTCTCAGTGTTCTGTTCACCAAATTCTTCATCATATGATACTGTAGGAATAATGTAGAGGGAGATACTCGATATTCTTATTATGAATATATTTTAAAAAAAATGGGCTCTATTATTTTTTTATATGTGAGCTTCATACTGTTCAATTCTATTACTCTGTGTTCTATTTTCTTATACTAAGATATACAGTACACAGTATATATACTTTTTTTTGTACTGAACTGATCTTTGCCCGTTTGCAGGTCCCGCGTGAAGATCTTTTACCGGTGATCACTGACGGATGTTTTTCTTCTCTGCTGTCTCCCAAATCACTCGGCATCCTTACTACTTCCGATCCGTCTACCTACTCTGAAGGGTTCCCTTCTTCCAAGTAAGGACAAGTAAAAAGCGAGTTGGATACAGGTATAGATATCAGTCTTGCATGCTGGGTACCTGATGTAAGGGGGCACTCTGATGGGGACACCTGATGTAAGGGGGCACTCTCTGATGGGGACACCTGATGTAAGGGGGCACTCTGATGGGGACACCTGATGTAAGGGGGCACTCTGATGGGGACACCTGATGTAAGGGGGCACTCTGATGGGGACACCTGATGTAAGGGGGCACTCTGATGGGGACACCTGATGTAAGGGGGCACTCTGATTGGGACACCTGATGTAAGGGGGCACTCTGATGGGGACACCTGATGTAAGGGGGCACTCTGATGGGGACACCTGATGTAAGGGGGCACTCTGATGGGGACACCTGATGTAAGGGGGCACTCTGATGGGGACACCTGATGTAAGGGGGCACTCTGATGGGGACACCTGATGTAAGGGGGCACTCTGATGGGGACCTGGATATAAGGGGGCACAGGTTCTGTTTAATCATCCAATTCCAATGATAGCCAAACCCATACTAGTGTTTCCCAGGATATGACACTGTGACAGGCTATCAGTGGCTCGCACACAGTATTGATATTCTGCCCCCTGACTTTATTTACTGCACCCCCAGATCAGATAGGCTAGATCCGGCCCTGACCGGAACACTTCTGGTCGGGTTACATTCCAGTACAGGAGGTGTCTTCCTATTCAGGTGAGGACTTTGTACCATCTGCACATGACAGATAGACGAGTGATTCATCGAGGATAATAAATAAATAATATTGGAGACTTACTTTGCCCTGTTCTTGTTTTATTGCTATAGATATGTTTTATTGCAAGCCATGTACTAAGCAGACCACAATGTGGTCAGTTTTGTAGCTGTGCTGGGAACTCAACTTGCTCTCCTCCAATGATCCAATGATCAGACTTGATCTGACAACCCCCCCCCCCACCTCCATGCACAGCCATTCCCTGGGAAGACCAGAGTAGTGCTGTTTCTTCAACCTCACCTCTATGCAGCTGAGAATATGTAAACCCAACATATCACATTCCCGATCTGTGTCTGTCTGATGTACCATGTACTTGTATGAAAAAGTCTCCCGTTCTTTGTGTTTTTCCTTTGTGTGCAATCCCTGGTGTTCCTGCCAGTCCCTCTGCATAAACTATTAAAAACTGACCACACTACGCATGAGAGAACTGCATGGTCAGTTTTGTAGCTGTGCTGGGATCTCAGCCTGCTCTTCTTCTATGATCAGACTTTTCCTGACAACCCCCCCCCCCCCCACCTCCATGCACATCCATTCTCTGGGAAGACCAGTGCAGGGGCGGACTGACAACTCATGGGGCCCCCAGGCAATAGGGGATCATGGGGCCCCTGTGTCCTTGCCCAAACTCAAAAAGGCCTATGAAAAAGGTACCAGGGGCATCTCATGGGGCCCCCTACTGACCCCGGGCCCTTGGGCAGTGCCCGAGTTTCCAAATGGTCAGTCCGCCCTTGGACCAGTGTGATGCTGTTTCTCCACCCTTACCTCTATGCAGCTGACAATATGTAAACCCAGCATTTCCTATTCCCGATATGTTCCTGCTGTATCCTCTATGTGGCTTTTCTTTTTATCATTAACAAATTCCATAGACATTATTTAGCACTACAAAATGATACTGGGTTCTGTATTCCCTAAAAGGGGTGGGACTGGGAGGTGGGTAGGGGGTGGAACCAAGGAACAGTGCCTAGAGATTGGAAGGGGGACAGAGACAAGGGGGGGGGGGTCCTCCACCTATTCTCTGAGGAAAAAAGCCCTGTGTGTACTTTAACATGATTTACCAGCTATAGCAAAAACTAAAGCTGTTCATTTTCAAAAGAGCACCTTCCCTAATTGTCCAATCAGTTTATATCTACTCTAGAAGGACCTTGTACTACATAGTCATTGGTAGATCTAAGGGAGATTGTCCAATCAGATTGTACGGTGTGAGATTAACATTCCTTTGCATGCATGGACTTTGGTGCTATTACATTATCATTGTGGTTTTCTAAGTGGCCGCTAGATGGCGATCTCTGACCACAGGATGCCCACTAGTTGCCTTCCTCACCTTTTCTAGCGCCGTTCTGCTGCCCTTCGCGTTTACAATCACCTTTTTGTTAATTATTATGTAACTACGTCCGTAAATGTCCATGTTAGATGAAGGCGTTCATTGTGCCAGTTATCCGTATAAATGAGTTCTGTCTATGCGGGTAAGGCTCCCTGGACTTGCTCAGGTTTGTAGACCTGGTTCAGACTCCTTCAGTTCTTGGTATCTATTTCACTTGCCAGGTTTGGTAATGTCCTAATTATTCAGTTGGATGACTATTGGCCCCCATTGAAAATATGTCACCATTGAGTGCAACAGCATGTGATAATTATGGTTTTCTTTCATGGAATATCGGGAACTGGGAATCCGAGAACGATGGTTTTTCCACCAATTCAGCAATCCGGGGCTGAGACAATTTACTTGTAAGAGACGCACTTAATTGAGCATAGTGTCAGCTGTCTCTGTAGACCAGCCAATCTCAGCCAGAGTTCCTGTAGAGGATGCCAAGGGCTTCTTGAGCTGTGGCTGATTGACCTTCCATTTGATGGTACCCATTAGGCCCGGACTGGGACAAAAAATAGGCCCGGGCACTTTGGACTGAGCAGCCCAAAGCCCGGGGACCCTTTCCTTGGAGCTCAGTGGTGGAACGCCAGGGCCTGGTCGTAAGAGTGACCTTTGTGACCCTGGTAGTTCCACCACTAGAGTCAGTGGGTTTTTTATTTTTATTAAGTGCTTTACAATTTTTTTTATTTTTTTTTTTTTTGTAGGAAGGAAGGAAACAAAGGAAGGAGAGAGAGAGAAAGAAAGAGAGACGTATAGAAGATAGGAAAGGAAAGAGGGAAAAGAGAGAGAGAGACAAACAGGAGAAAGAGAAACAAAGAAAGGAGAGAGAGAGAAGCATAAAAAAGAAAGCAAGAGATAGGGAGAGAGAAGAGAAATTAGAGACAGAAAGAAAAAAAGAGAGAAGACAAGGCTGGCGAGGAGTGTGGGCGGGGCAGACACAGGAGGAGAGGGCGGGAGAAGGAGGGGCAGCTTTCTCTCTCCTCTGTAGTGGGCGTGGACTGTCAGCACTGGGGACGGCATATGCTGACAGACCCCCCGCAATGCTGGAGGAGACGTGGGGGAGCATACAGGAGCCAACTGCATGCAGGAGATTGATAGGAGAGGCGGGCGGCAGATAGAGGTACCAAGAAATGCACGGTCCTCTATGTGCCGCCTGGCCGCCTCTCCTATCCAGGCGGCCCCTGCCCACCTGGCAAATGCCTGGTGTGCCCTATGACCAGTCCAGGCCTGGTACCCATAGAGTTCCAGGCAAACATTAATTGGCAGAGCCAGCAGTGTGACACTACTTATATTTTTAGCTATCTGTAAGGGGGATATTCCACTGACCACCAATGTACATATTAAAAATATATTATATTGAATATGGCCAAAATTGTAGTATTTCAAGTATATGTCTATATTTGGGAAGAATATTTTTAAGATTATATTTCAAATACATTTTTCTTCCATATGGGAAGGATTGAAGGCAGGGCATAAGAATAACAGGCAGGCGGAGGATCAGAATGACAACCAGGCAGCGATCTTTCTCAGAAGGATCAGAAAACGGCACCTCCATATTTCTTTTGTGATTATAAATGTGTCCTAAGATCTTGAATATCCTGCTAAGGGGAAGCCAGACAGAGGATTTGCTGTTTAGTCTGCTGAGTCTACAAAGTCCCTCTGCTGACCTCCTCCACTCATTGCTTTGGTTGTTCCTAACAGCCTGGCTGCTAGTAGATTTCCCACTGGGATCATAGGGACTAGAACACAATTTAGACTTTGTAAAATTCTGATTTTGTTTTTTTTTTTTTCTAGCCACGAAAATGCCTTTCCACGTGGATGACATAATGCGGCTTTTGTGCCACGTTTCCGGAGAACAGAAGATGAAAGCTGCCATAAAACACTCTGCCAAGGGCGCTCTGGTTGCCGGCACCGGTGCCTTCCTAGGAGGTTTGGTCGGAGGGCCTCCTGGAATTGCAGTTGGTAATTTGTTCATTTTCTTGGAATGAGATTTTAGTTTCTGTAGTGTGCATATTGGAGTGTAATTTAGTAATGGCGGCGAATCAGCGACTTATAGCAGGACTGCGACGGGCATTCTGACACTGGAGGGGGGGGGGGACTGACTAACTGCCACTGACCTCCCCAGTGACACTAATACAGTGATCAGTGCTAATAAAAAGCACTGACACTGTACTAATGGCACTGGGCAGGAAGGGGTTGACATATGGGACGATCAAAGGGTTAACTGTGTGTGCTTTACTGTGTAAGCACGCTGCTTTGTATGGCTCTGCTATGCAGAGCCATACAGAGCAGCATGCAGGAGCTGGCGGGGAGAGATCTGTATTGTTTACATACAGACCTCTCCTCTGTCAGTGTACTTCGGCGATCGCTGGGTGCCGGCGGGGAATCTCTGGCCGGACCCCGGTGATTGACAGCCATAGCCGCCAATGCTATAGGGTGGCGGGGAAGCCGCTTTTAAAGTAGATATCAACTCTATAATAACATCATTTAATTGCTAACATATTGAAATTGTTTTCAGTATTTTTATGGCCAAAGTATAACTAATGGCAAAACATTTTTTTTTTTAGTTTTGGGTAGAGTGGAGAGGGAGTAGAACCCCTGTCAGGTTTGTATTGCCGTCTGTGCCCCCATTAGGGAGATTCCCTTCCCCCACCCCATCACCACGAGTGAAAGTGAAATAAAAAAAAAAAATCCCAAATTTTCAGTTGCCACCAGAACAGGAATAGAGGGGAAATCTTCCAAAGGGGGACAGTAATTCTGGTGACAATCAGGCATTCCCTCACTTTGGAGGAATTGTCCTATTGCCTTCATTTTTTTTTTTTCCTTTGAAGGAGGTACAGAAAATGATATCATGAGATATTGGCACAGCAGGCACATGGGACAGATCACAAGACGGAAGTCAAACATGCAGAAAAAGTACACGCTCTCAAAGAGTTTTGAGAGTCATTTCCCAAATGGGGGGAAAAATCCATCCCAAACGTAGATTTAGATAGCGAATCCATAAATCCATATGCTATGCTATTAAATATAGTAAGTGGGGAGATCCAACACATGGGGGGTGGGTGGGGGAAGGTAAAGAAGGGTTTGTCTAGTCCAAAGTCACCTAAGGCATGTTAATCTGAAGTTCATTTTGTAGTCAAGCAGTAGAGGGCATGTTGGGGTTAAATCAAAACTTACCTCTCAAAAGGGTGTTCCGCTTTAACACTCCCCCACCCCAAGCAGAATTGCCCCCACCGCCATTTTGTCATTCTGGTCTAAGCCTGAATGATGTGTGCCTGGTCCTGCAGCCTCCTTAGATACTTACATCTCAAGTCCAAGGAGGCTGCAGGATCAGGACACAGAATGGCCAGGTTCTGGTCCGGAGGGCAGGGGGGATGGGTGCGTCATCGGAGCTGGCTGTCTGTACCTGAAAGAGCTTATTAACCACTTAAAGACCGCCCGCCTGCAATGTACTGCGGACAGACGGCAGCTACAGGACCAGCCTTCCCATTATTTCCTGTCCCAGGAACACAACAGGAATTAAGGGAAAATTTCACCAAAGTTATGGGAATACCTTAGATAGGCATCACCATTACTGGTGTCCCCATTGGATGGTTCCCCCAACTATCACTTGTTAGATTTTCACTACTCCCATTGGAAGATTTACCTCCAACTATTGAATGTTAGATTTCCATCACCCCCATTAGAAGGTTTCATTCACTATCAAATGTTAGATTTGCATTTCCTCAATTGGAAGGTTTTCCTCCCAGATATCAAATATTAGATTTCCATCACCCCCAGTGGAAGGTTTCCCCAACTATCAAATGTTAGATTTGTGTCACCCCCATTGGAAGGTTCCCCCAACTATCAAATGTTAGATTTCCATCACTCCCCTTGGAAAGTTTCCCCCAACTATCATAAGTTAGATTTCCATCACCCCCATTGGAAGGTTTCATTCACTATCAAATGTTAGATTTGCATTTCTTCAATTGGAAGGTTTTCCCCAACTATCAAATATTAGATTTCCATTATTCCCATTGGAAGATTTCCCCTATCAGATGTTAGATTTGCATTACCTCCATTATAGGGATTCCCCCAACTATCAAATATTAGATTTCCATCACCCCCATTGGAAGGTTCTCCCAACTATCATGTGTTAGATTTCCATCACCCCCATTGGAAGGTTCTCCCAACTATCAAATGTTAGATTTCCATCACCCCCAGTGGAAGGTTTGCCCCAACTATCAAATGTTAGATTTCCATCACCCCCATTGGAAGGTTCTCCCAACTATCATGTGTTAGATTTCCATCACCCCCATTGGAAGGTTCTCCCAACTATCAAATGTTAGATTTCCATCACCCCCAGTGGAAGGTTTGCCCCAACTATCATATGTTAGATTTCCATCACCCCCATTGGAAGGTTCTCCCAACTATCAAATGTTAGATTTCCATCACCCCCATTGGAAGGTTCTCCCAATTATCATATGTTAGATTTCCATCACCCCCATTGGAAGGTTCTCCCAATTATCATATGTTAGATTTCCATCACCCCCATTGGAAGGTTCTCCCAACTATCGTGTTTGTTAGATTTCCATCACAAGTTTTTTTTTTTTTCATATACGGCAACCATTTTTCTTTAACGTAAAAAAAAAAATAAGGGCACTTGTAATGGTCGAGTTTCTAACCTACTGCCATTATTTGTTTCTAGGTGGTGCTGTGGGAGGATTAGTGGGCGCCTGGATGTCTAGCGGTCAGTTCCAGCCGGTCCCTCAGATTCTTATGGAGATGCCCCCTGTCCAGCAGCAGAAGCTCTGTGAAAACATCTACACCATCATCAGCAACTTGCACTGGACCGATGCAACTCATCTCATCATGCTGGTCATGGGCAATGCCTCCTTACAACAGAAGGTGACAACCGCACTCATCAACTACGTGTCCCAGGAGCTGAAAGCAGAGATTCAGTATGGAGACTAGACGGTTCCTCGATCGTCTTCTTACTGCCGAACGTGCACCCATGATTGGCAAAGAACCCCGACACTGTAGAGAAGATCAGGGGAGGTAGATGCTGTACTTGGATTTCCATAAGGAAGATTTTAGTGTATTTTTGAAGTGCTTAAAATGAACTGCTGCTTAGTGAGTAGAAGCTGTACATTGATCTGGATGGTTGAGGATGGACCACTTGGACCTCCAGTGTTGGTAGTCATGGTAGGTAACAGAGACCATCATATGCTTCCTCCTTAAAGAGAAACTGAATCCTGAAAGCAGACGGCAAATAACTAGTCACCAGTATTGTCTGTGGCCTCTCTGCAGCTCTCCTTTCTCCATTACTCACTTTTCCATGCCTTGGTCTGCACTGTCTCTGTGTGGGTGGCCATCTTGGTAGAGGCAGGGCTTTTCTTCCTGATGACAAAGCCTCCAGCATGGAGAACAGTGAGCAGCACAGCTGTAGCCTGACCAAATATTATTCCAGCTATACTGAGACTAGCCCTCAGAGGCAACAGTGCCTTAGATCTTAAACAGCAGATACACAGCTCTCAGGAGTGCCTAGGCACACTCCTATACCAGGAAGGGCATTGCTGTTTTTCAGGAGGAACTCCAGACAAGCTATTTTTTTTTTCAGAGTACTGCTTAGGTGCAATTAACACACCTAGATGTTGCCAAAACAGCAAATCTTCACTTTTTGAGTTCCGTTCCTCTTTAAGGAGAAGTAGCTAAAGGGGGACCAGAGCGGCAGAGGAGAAAACAGGAGATGAGTACAAGCCGGTGGGCAATCATGTCAACCTGTTGCTAGGCTTTGCATGCAAAAAGCAGACATTGTCTTTAAAGAAATCCTGCCACCTTACCTATGTAGAGCAAAGTGACTGTGTTTCTGCTAAGGGCCCCCAACCCCCATAGGGCCATGTCAGTGGCATTGGTTTGAAAGGCTTCTGAGAGCATTTAGGATGCATGGACAAGTGCATTTGACTTGTGGTTGACCTGCTTTTGACTTGCAACAAGCAGGTGTAGCATTGGTATAGTCTTGAAACCCACTTGAAATGAACAAAAGCCCATCGGCACAGGTCCTTCTAGCCATCACACTTATGCTGCTTCTTCCTCCGCCGTAGCCAGCACTGAAATCAATGGTGTCAGCAACCAGGGGATCGATGACTGCTCTTGTGGGCATGTGACAATGCTGGGGTCTAATGATCGGCTGCTAGGCTTGCACACTGTCTCAGAGGTGAAGGTCATATGCTCCCCCATACCCTAAAACAGTGGTCTCCTAACTGCGGCCCCTGGGCCAGATGTAGCCATTTGCTTGCCTTTATCTGACTCTTTAGAGCATTATTTCTCTCACTGATACAAGGCACTATTCCTTCCTCTGACACCAATGATTGGGCACTATTCCTCCCACTGACACCAATGATGGGGCACTATTCCTTCCTCTGACACCAATGATGCGGCACTATTCCTTCCTCTGACACCAATGATTGGGCACTATTTCTTTCACTGACACCAATGATTGGGCACTATTTCTTTCACTGACACCAATTATGGGGCACTATTCCTTCCACTGACACCAATGATGGGGCACTATTCCTCCCACTGACACCAATGATAGAGCACGAATTATCCCACTGACACCAATGATGGGGCACTATTCCTTCCACTGACACCAATGATAGGGCACTATTTCTTCCACTGACACCATAGATGGAGCACTATTCATCTCACTGACACGTAGATGGAGCACCGTTCACGTCACTGACACCGTAGATGGAGCACCGCTTATCTCACTGACACCGTAGATGGAGCACGGTTCATCTCACTGACACCGTAGATGGAGCACCGCTCATCTCACTGACACCGTAGATGGAGCGCCGTTCATCTCACTGACACCGAATATGGAGTGCCGTTCATCTCACTGACACCGAAGATGGAGTGCCGTTCATCTCAGTGACACCGAAGATGGAGTGCCGTTCATCTCACTGACACCATAGATGGAGCGCCGTTCATCTCACTGACACCGTAGATGGAGCGCCGTTCGTCTCACTGACACCGTAGATGGAGCGCCGTTCGTCTCACTGACACCGTAGATGGAGCGCCGTTCGTCTCACTGACACCGTAGATGGAGCGCCGTTCATCTCACTGACCGTAGATGGAGCGCCGTTCATCTCACTGACACCGTAGATGGAGCGCCGTTCATCTCACTGGCACCGTAGATGGAGCACCGCTCATCTCACTGACACCGTAGATGGAGGACCGTTCATCTCACTGACAACGTAGATGGAGGACCGTTCATCTCACTGACACCGTAGATGGAGGACCGTTCATCTCACTGACACCGTAGATGGAGGACCGTTCATCTCACTGACACCGTAGATGGAGGACCGTTCATCTCACTGACACCGTAGATGGAGTACCGTTCATCTCACTGACACCGTAGATGGAGGACCGTTCATCTCACTGACACCGTAGATGGGGTACGATTCCTATCACTGGTACAGTAGATGGGGCACACTATTCCTTCCACTGACACCAATGATGGGGTACTTTGCTTCCACTGACACTATAGCTGGGGCACTATTCCTCCCACTGACACCAACGATGGGGCACTATTCCTCCCACTAATACCAATACCTCCTACTATCCACAGGCATTTTGCAATTATTTTAACCCCACTGACCACCAAGTCTGAGGCATTTTCTACTCCCACTGGCCACAATCCGGCCCTGGCCCTTTGCTTAGAAAGTTTGGAGACCCCTGCCCTAAACCAATGGGTGGTGTCACTGGCTGCAAAGGAGGAAGAAGCTTTGAGGGAGGGCTGGTAAGGTCAGAATGGTGAGGAGTGGGGGAGGGGGGGGGGTTGTACTTTTTCTCAGGCAATGCATCAGTAAGGTGACAGGGTCTCTTTAAAGTGGATCTGTGTTTTTCTCATGCAAGCCATAGCAAAAGGTTGACTTGACATGACAAAATACACTGAAACCTTCCGGAATTCATACAAGAGGACCAGCACCTACCTTCCATATCTACCTCTTTCGCAGCGTATTGCATGAACTTGAACTTTCAATCATGACAGGTGCACTTGAATACTTTTTCCTATATCACGTGAGGCCTGTAATACGAAGGCCATTGAAAGTAAAGATGTCTGTTCTGTTTACAGCAGCCAATGAAATTCTTGCTTTTATTTTCTGATCTGCCTTGGCAAATGGGATTTGATTGGCTGCTACGACTATACAGACCAATTCTATTGGACACTCTCCTACGTGCCTCATATATAAATACTACCGCCAAAGAGAAGCCAAGGTAGTCTCTGTTCAAGCCAATCAAATGCGTGGACAACTCTCAGTGGGCAATAATAACGAATGGGAACAACGTGACGTAAGCGACCAATCAGGTTGCAGCTGTTATTTTTTGTCGCAGATGAAGGCAGCAGCTGATTGGTTTCTATAAGTAAAACTGACAATTTTTCTCAGTTCCTATAACCAATGATCTTGTTTGCTGGGACTGCCATAGTTTTTTATGGTTTTAATTTGATCGCAATTTAAATTTTGTGCGTTAAAATGCGCATTTGATCTATATAAGACCCATTTTTTTCTACTTTTAAAGGACAACTGAGAGCAAACCTGTTTTTCCATTTTGGTTAGAGTAAGGGAGGGTTATAACTCCTGTTTTCTGTTTTCCATCTGTGTTCCATTGGGGAGATTTCCCTTCACTTCCTGTCCCATATCCAAAACAGTGAGAGGAAATCCCTCCAAAATGAGGAAATTCCTGGTTGTCACCGAAACTAGTGTCCCAGTTTTCCCCTTTTTATTTCTGTTCTAAGGACAACTCAAAATTTTATATTTTCTTTTAATTTCACTGATAATGGTAAACAGGACACATAGATCCTCCTGAGGAAATCACAGGATTGGTGACGAAACGCGTTGGGTAGAGCTATTGAGCAACGGTGGGGGCTTCATCTGCCTGTACAGGCATAGTGAAATAAGTTATCTGATCAATCTTGGTTATGATCACGCTGCCTTGCCCTATATCAGCATTTATAACTGTTATGGCTCCACTACACAGGAGATTTTTAGTCTTTGTAGCACTCCATGAAGGAATAAGCCCCATTTCCTAACATCTCGTCGTTTCAGCAAAGCAAGTTTTAAATAAAAGAAATACTGTTTCGACATTTTCCTTGCTCTTGTCGTCTCAAGGGAGAGATACGGCCATTATCAATCCCATTTGCAGAGCTGTTGGAAAGACATGAACGCCCTCAGATGCCCACATTGCCTTGACTAGCAGGGACGGGTCTGCACACCTACAAGGGTGTTGGCATAGCATTTCATGCAACACTGGAAAAAAAATGAAGTCTTTTTCCTTTTTATTGTATTTCTTTTTGTGCATGCATTCAGACACTTCATTGAAGGCATGTGCTTTATAGAAATTGCTGACCATATGATCATGAAGAGTAACCTATATCAGTTCTTAATTTTATCATTACTGTGCACTTGGACTTTATCCGATTGCTGTCAATAGCTTTTTTTTTTTTTATTCCTTTTATTTTAAATGATACATTTCTCAACAAATTGTTAAAAATCTCAAATGTAGTAGTTGAACCTTGCAGTCATGTGACATTAAGCTGCTCATATTAGTGTTTCAATCAGCTGAGCCTTTACCAGACAGTACCAATGCAATGCCATGGACCTTCTACTATTTATATGTGAAGAAGTTTGATGATGAAGCTTTTTTTTTTTTTTCTCGAGCAGAACTTTGCATAGAATCGATTGGTGAAAGGATTTTAGTAAGATATTTTTTTTTGTAACTGACAGGACCTGGCTTTCTATTAACAGTACTGCTGTAGTTCGGGAGAGGTTGGAGGCAGGGGCGTCCCTAGGGTTGGTGTCACCCGGTGCAGTAACACTTGGTGACACCCCCTCCGACGATTCCCACAGAATGAATCGGCGAACTGAGCATAATGGATCGGACTCCGATCCATAATGCTCCCCAATCCG